GTGCGCTCACTATGGTTTCCCACTCCAGCAATACCCCTACCTTTAATTTGTCGCTTCAACGTCGCCATCTCAGCCGCCATCTTCCTAATGAGGGCATCCTGGTCTTTGAGTTTATACTCCAGGCATTGAGCGTGCAACTCTCCTCATCTCTAACGCCCATTAGGACTCCTCAAATGGTCAGTGCTCATCACGCTTTTATCTCGCGTGTCTTTAGGTAGCACTCTAGAGGAGGTTTCCAAGCCTACCATAGTCGGAATGGCAGAAGGGCCATCTCTTCTCCAGACTGATTTTAGAGTGATGCCGTCAACAATGGACAACGGTGTTTCATTGATGTTTGCCATGGAAAATAGCCAAAAAAGCTTATAGAACAAGGTTTGTCTATCAAAGAACTTCCCACCGACGGCGCCAATTGTATGGGGAAGAAATATTCACCTTGTTTCATATCTCCTTGCTTCTAAGTTCATCGCACTCCGTTAGGACTCCGTCACACTGTGAACAAAATGAAGGTGAGCTACCCAGCGGATGTATTTGTCGAAAAACCCCTCTGACGGTCAAGTTAGCTTTCTTGGAGAAAAGAGAAGGCAAAACGCTGTAGAGAGAGAGAGAGAGTTACATAAAATTACTTACCTCCAACATCTGTATGCTCCTCATTTTCAAGGCTGGCCATGCAGTCTCAGAGATTGTAGGTGCACTACCTCTGTTGTCCTTCTCTGGACAGGTGGCTGTGCTCCCCTCTACATTTCTTATACGTATAAAGACCAAAACTACCAAACAGTATTTGTCGCACCGCCAAACAGTATTAACGCGTACCAGGAGTGGATTTCTCTCTTCTTGTTATTGGTCCACGTGGAATACTGGACGGAGCTAGTACTTGTGAACCATAAGCATCATTTTTATCACCTTCATGTCGCGTTGAGACTAACCGATCTTCCAAAGGAAGTATGATGCGGTCAAAGCCTTAACTGCATCACCTGGAGCCGGTGGGGCACGCGGTTCGTTATCTCAGCTACACACCGCTATCCCACGAACCATCTGTCTCAACGATTGTAGCCGAACCATCTACAGCTCGGCCGCCACGTGGTACCGCTACCTAGAACTGCAACACTTGGGCAACTCGGCCCACCGACGTGAGCCAGTTCGGCTGAGTTTGGCCCGCTATAGTATTCCATGAGGGTCCAGCTCAACCTAGCACCATATTCCGTGTGGGCCCAACTCGGCCCATGACACCCCAAATAACCTTAGTCCAGCCCAGCACCACATTCCATATGGACCCAATTCAACTAATGCTCAGTATAAGTTCGGCCCAACACCATATTCCATGTGGGCCCAGCTCGGCCCATGACACCCCAAACAACCTTAGTCTAGCCCAGTATCATATTCCGTGTAGACCCAATTCGGCCAATGCTTAGTATTAGGGATGACAATTTGAACTCGGTCCGACGAGGACCTGACCCCTCTACCCTGATTTCAGTAATTTTTCTCCAAAAAATATCCCCAACAGGCCGAGAATGGTATTCAAAAATCAATCCCTGATCAGTTTTGGGCCAGGGAGGAAATAAGTCTTCCAGTCCCGTACCCGGTCCATCTCTGTCCCCATTCCTATCCCCAAAGTGAAATTACTATTTTACCCCTCTATATCCCCCTATATAATATATACATACAGATTCTCAACTAGTTTTGTTCTCTCTCTCTCTCTCTCTGTTTCAAATCTCTGCTTTTATACAGGTACGCATCAATTGATTATAGATTTAGATCTATATCCATTCGTTCGATTCAGATCTAATGAATTTTCTTCATTGACCTTTTCTTTTTCCAGCATCGTAATGGAGGATCAAACCAAACCCTCAGCTTATCTCTCTCAGTCTTATCTCACTCTCAATCTCTCTCTCTCTCTTTCTCTTAGTTCCCCTCTCTCTCTTTAAAACCCTTCCCTCCGAGAGACGATGAGAGTCAAAGGATCTCGCCGATAGTCTTCGGCAAAGGATCTGAACCATAGATCAGATCAAAAAATGCAACCATAAATTACATCAAACCACATCTGTCGAAGGATTTGATCTGTGGCCGTTAATCTCCATCCTCTGTGCATCTGAGCTCAGATCTGTTGTTGATGAAGATGAAGAAAATGATGATCTGTTGAATGTGTTAGATTTTTTTATTTTTTACATTTGGTGAATATAAATGCTCAGATCTGTTGATGATGTTGTTGTTGTTGATGAATATATATGCTCAGATATGTTATTGAATATATATGTTGTTTATTTTTTTTTAATTATTTTGGTCGCAAAATTTTTGGGGTCGGGGAAATCCGATCCTCGTTAGGGGGCGGTGATAGGCTCCCTATCAGGGATCGGGGCTGGGGCGAGGGACGGAAAAATTTCTACCATCAAGGATCGAGGACAGAAAGTGTGATCCCCGGCGCCGCCCCGCCCATTGCCATTCCTACTTGGTATAAGTTCCCCTCACAATTGGATATTTTTCTAAAAAAATATTTATTCTATTATATATGGTTCATTTATATTTTTCATTATTTATTTATTTTTATATTTGTACAGTAATTAGTATGTAATATTTTTGAAACAATTGAACATTTTTTTAAAGTTAGTTTAGAGTATATTATGAAATCTGAAGTATTTTTGTGTAATATTTTTGAAATACTTTTATATGTAAAATTAATTTTTATTGAACTACATAATATGGTTATAGTGGTACTGAAACCTGAGTATAAATTTGGCGCCACTACATTTATGGAAATTTAAAGAATTTATTGTTGATTTCAAATTGTTTAGAAATAGATTATTTTAGTAATTTTTTTATTTTTTACGAAAAAATATAATTAAAAAAAAGTAAAAAAAAATGATATGATAATTTATAGTAATCTTTTAATTTTTTAATTAAAATATATAATTGACAAATAAGATCTAAGTTAGTCCATAAACCCTCTAAAAATAACAACCAAGTCTACAATGAATTGGTACAAACATGATAATGGCGTGGGGCATGGCCAATGAAGGTGGTTATGTGATAGCAACGCAGTGATGATGACGATGACGATGACGATGATGATGGCAGTCATAGTGGTTTGTTTATTGTGGTATAGTGACCATTGAAAAATATATATTTAAATACATGCTAAAGTATGTAAATTATGCTTTATTATCATCAAAATTTAATAAAACAAATATGAGAACTGATACCAAAAATTGTACTATTAATAATAAAATTATCGTATCAATACTATCAAGCATTTTGGTTAGTTATGAATTTATTATGACCAAATGATAATAGTTTGGGCCCATCTACTCTTTTATTTTATTTAGTTATTTTTTTTCTCTTCAATAGTTTACAAGCACATTTTCAAGTAGAATAATGATATATATATATATATATATATATCAATTAGTATATCAGTTAGTATACTAACGGATAATGTGATATAATTTTAGATATTTTAAGTCTTTATAATTTATATAATGAGTGGAGTAATTTTAAAATGACAATGCTATAACTATGTAGGGGATTGATTGTCAAATTTTTGTTTAGTTTGAGAAAATAATCCCAACTCGAGTAGATAATCAAGAATGCCACAAGGTTATGTTTGTTTGGTAAATAGGCTATAAGATTGGATTATGTGTCTCATTCAATTTTGAAGCTCACCTCATGTTTGAATATCAAAGTAGACATTAGGATTAAAATTAAATAAATAATTTTTTTTTTTTTTTTAAAAAGAGTAGACATTAGGATTAAAAGTCTCTTCAATTTACATATCTCTGTATAATGACTATTGAGTTGGGAAGGTGATATACAAAATATAGAAATTAAGGGAGGTTTGATTTAGAGAGTATTAAAACATTAAAATATCTTTAAATCATAGTCATTACTCCTTGTAATCCATACCTAGTACTTTTAAACAAACATCAAATAAGACGAGATTCTATTAATTCCTATCCTAATCTAAAAATATTCTAAACATTAAACATGATATATAATCAGATGATGTTGATAATCCCAAAAACTAATATTTCCATATGATCCAATTCATCAGACTAAACATGGCCAAAATCACACATGCCATTCACTAGTTAATAGTTATGTATGTATCAATAAATATTTAACAACCACATATCTTTGAGAAGTTAGTAAAAAATTATTTCTTACTTTTTAATTTATTTTTGGCCACATTACCTCTTGTATTTTTCACTCACAAAAGGATAAAAAAGTTTTAAAAAGTTAAAAAATCAACTTTTAACCAACTTTCCAAATCAACCCATAATCTATATAACAATGGAAGGGTTAGTTTGAATTCAAAGATTGAAAATATATATGTGTCAAAATTTGGACCTTTAGATTGCTTTAATCCAAGGGCTGAAAATGTCTTACTCTTATTTGTCCTATTTAGACATCTCAATAAGGATAAAGATTGGTAGCTCGAAAATTTACCCGCCCTAATCCCCCTAATGCCCAAAACGACGTCGTTTTGGGCATTAGGCTTTTTTTTCTTTTTTTTTCTTCTATTTTTGAAGCTTTTCGAGCTCAAACACAGACGGGGAAGAGGGAGAGGGAGAGGGAGAGGGAGAGGGAGAGAGGGAGAGCGGAGAGGAGAGAAGGAGACACACACACACAGAGGCCCCCCTGTAATCCGGCCGACCGTCCGATCGTCGCAGCTCCGCCATCGTCGCAGCTCCAGTCCCTTCTTCTTCCTCCTCCTCCTTCTTCCCTCTCTTCTTTTTCTTCCCTTCTTCCTCTTCTTCTTTCTTCTTCTCTACTTTCTTTCTTCTTCTTCGTCTCTTCTGATTTTCTAATTGAAAAAAAAAAAATTAAAACGACGAAACGACGTCGTTTCGTCGTTTAGGGGGATTCGGGGAGGCTAATTTCGAGCGACGTAGCATTACCGTTTCAATAATTGAGATCAATTACAATCAAGATCTAATGGTTCAAAATGTCTCTCACCTCAGCTCAAGATAATGTGGCTGAAAATTTCTCTCTCACGTGCTCCTCTCTGCTCAAAATCTCTCTCTGTTTCAATTTTCAAATTTTGAACACCCTCTCTCTTTCTCTCTCTCCATCAGAGCCCATTCCCTTGCTGGAGACCCAACCCCAATCTTCATCTTCATCAACTGAGGCAGCCCCAATCTTCATCTTCTCACTACAAAAGGTGAACGAACCAATCTTGTGTTTCCTCGCTCCATCATTACATATTTATCATCTTTAATTGACCGTGCCTTTTTGAGTGTCTGTGCCGGCCTATGCTCTTCTAGATTTCAACTTCATTCAATCATTGCTATATGTCAAATTCATACATCTTTTGAGTATTTGAGGAGTGATTCGTGAAGTGAAGGGAAAATTAAGCTAAATTTTCATTTTTCACTTCACTTAGCATGTGCTTCTATGGTTTCTGGGCAACCAAAGGATGTGATTATGTATATTTATGTATTCATTAGGCAATTCAGGAAGGAATGTATTGGGGTTTTATTTTAAGTAGGCCTTTCATAAATTTCACTTTGTGTAACTACAAAGAAACAATCATTTCATGAGTATCCATTATTAATCTACTTAATTACTCTTCTTTTATGTATTTTTTTCTCTAAATTGCTTTTGTATTTCGTCCCTCTTAAAGACCAACCATTCGGAAGAACCAAGGGAGAATTATGACAATGTCAAGTTTACAGAGCACACCACTGTTAAACATGCTAGAGCAAGTAATGGGCCTTAGAAGGAGGATGGCCTGGATCTGAAACCTTGTTGGACAAAACCCGGTTTGGGTAAGTCGGCTTGAGTCCTAGAGATTCGTAAATTTCGTAGTTTTTAAAATTAGCTTACCTTTGGCTAATCATTCTCTCTTTCATGCTTTCTTATTTGTTCTTATGGCTAACAGAAGAAGCAACACAAACAGACGGTTTCGTCACCTTCTCATTAACCAACGGCCCTGAATATCATGCCTCACAGGTATCCTAAATTTAATATGCATCAGTTTCCTGTTGCCTTGCCTTGCGCTCTTTTCTAGGTTTATAGGAATAAATGGGTGGTTCAATCTATTACTGAACATTTTATTGAACAGTTAGTGAGCAATTCGTAAATGGCCAAGCTAATTAGAATTATTAAAAAGAGCTGCAAAATGCTAGGATCTGATTACCTAGGGCTCACTAACACAGAGAAAGAGATGAGACGAAGCCAACTGAGAAATACACGCGTAGAGGAGTGTTGGTGTAATCAGAGACATAGGTGGGTGAGATTGTGTCAAATGTGCATCAAGTGATCAATAGCGACCTACCATGAGAAGGAAAATAGGAATTTTTTCCACATTTAGAAAATAGGAATTTTTTTTTTTCTTGAGAGTTTTCTTTTTGTAACTATTACTATCAACTCTTTCAGCAAACCTTGGGTTGGGATATATTCCACTCAAACTTGCACATTACACAATGAATATGCTATTGTTATTGGAAAGCCTGGAGTAGACAAATGGAAATCAATTACAGAAAATCACAAAATATATTTTTCTAATTTGGTGCCTAAAGTTTATTTATTGGTAGCAAATGTGTTTTGGATTGCATTTGGTACCTCTTGAAAATCAATTTCTTTTTGTTGTTGATCAAAAAAAAAAAAAAAAAAGAAGGAGAAAGAAAAGAAAAAAAAGGTGAACAATGATATATGGAAATCATTACAGAAATCAAGAAAACATATTTTGCTAATTTGGTGCTAAAGTTTATTTATTGGTAGCAAATGTGTTTTGGATTGCATTTGGTACCTCTTGAAAAATTTCTTTTTGTTGTTGTCAAAAAAAAAAAAAGAAGAAGAAGAAGAAGAAGAAAGAAAAGAAAAAAAGGTGAACAATGATATATGGAAATCAATTACAGAAAAACAAAAAACATATTTTGCTAATTTGGTGCCTAAAGTTTATTTATTGGTAGCAAATGTGTTTTGGATTGTATTTGGAACCTCTTCAAAATCAATTTCCTTTTGTTGTTGATTAAAAAAAAAAAAAGAAAAAAAAAGAAAAGAAGAAGAAGAAGAAGAAAGAAAGAAAAGAAAAAAAGGTGAACAATGATATATGGAAATCAGTCACAGACAATCAGAAAACATATTTTGCTAATTTGGTGCCTAAATTTTATTTATTGTTAGCAAATGTGTTTTGGATTGTATTTGGTACCTCTTGAAAATCAATTTCTTTTTGTTGCTGATCAAAAAAAAAAAAGAAGAAGAAGAAGAAGAAGAAAGAAAAGAAAAAAAGGTGAACAATGATATATGGAAATCAATTACAGACAATCAGAAAACATATTTTGCTAATTTGGTGCCTAAAGTTTATTTATTGGTAGCAAATGTGTTTTGGATTGCATTTGGTACCTCTTGAAAATCAATTTCTTTTTGTTGTTGATCACAAAAAGAAGAAGAAGAAGAAGAAGAAGAAGAAGAAGAAGAAAGAAAAGAAAAAAAAGGTGAACAATGATATAATCTCAACATACATGAAACATAGAATGTCAATCTTCTAGCAATGGATTTAATAAAAGGTGTGGTTCAAAAGTTGGGGTATCAACGCCAGCAAATTCTTAGGGCTATGCAGACCAATGTTGTTACCATTTCTAATTTATTTTGGCCAATTTTACTTGAATCTTGGACTTGCTATGTTATCTTACTTCCTTTTTCATTGGTTGTGTCAAGGTTGGTTAAGTGGGGTTTTATTACAAGTGGTGTATGTGAACCCCTTTTATTGAGCCCCTTTCTAGACAATTTTTGTACTATTTTCATTGTGAATGTTTAGTGGTAAATTTTCACTAATAAGTAGGATTCACTGATTAAGTGTTTAAAAAGAATAATGTATTCGAAATCCCTTCAAGCCTATTCTTCTTTTTTATTATTCCCACCCATGCATGTGCAACAATCAAAACCTTAGTTTAAGATTTAGTTCACTCTAATTTCTATACAGTATGCAATAGTGAGCAAGAATACTAACCATAGAGAAGTTTCAGATTGCCATGTAAAACCAAACGAGGTTTTTGTTTTTAGAGTCCGTGTTCAATAATATGATTCTTTTGTAGTTTCTCATCCTTTGCTTTAATGAGTTCAAGTGTAATGGAGGCACAAGGTAAGCAATTTTAATATGATAATTGCGACTATTTTTGTTCATGGGACTTGCAGAATGTTAATAGTATAACATTTAGCAAAAGAATCTTTACTCTAATGTGTTTCAATAACTTATCTTTTTGGGCCCATCAAGTATATTTTCATCATGGATGAAGGTGTATTCTTTTGTTTCAATAATCTTTACTGTAACATGTTTCTATAATCTTTATTCTAATTTTTGGATATCTTTTGTTTCAATAATCTTTACTGTAATATGTTTCAATAATCTTTTGTTTCAAAAATTGTTGTTCGTGCCTTCATTCTTTTGTTTCAATAATGTTTCAATAATCTTTACTGTAATATGTTTCAATAATCTTTACTTTAATTTTTGGATATCTTTTCTAGCAAGTTTGACAACAGGTTTGTCCAATCTAATTGCTTTATTGATGTGTACAACTTGTGATTGAAACATACTCTAATTTTTTGATATCTTTTGTTTCAATAATCTTTAATTTCTAGCAAGTTTGTTAATTTCTAGCAGGTTTGACAACAGGTTTGTCCAATTTAATTGCTTTATTGATGTTTACAATTTGTGATTATGTGTAATATTTGATCTGGTGTGTCCAATACATTGTGTCTGAAGCATTGTGTTTGCTTAATAGGCTCACATTAGGCAGCTTGAGGACTTCCTTAAGACCTTTCATATCGAAACATTGTGGTAAGTATTTGATTTGTATTCTTACTTAAGCAATAATTGATCATTGTTATGTTGTGATTATTTCTTTGGTTGGTTGTGTTGGAAATTTTTAAGTATGGTTTTTTTTTTTTTTTTTTTAAATTTTTTCTTACAATTATCATTATTTGGGTTTATTAAAATCAAATTGGGGTAGGTGGGGTAGGGGGGGCAAGAAAGAATGAATGATTTAAGAAATCAACTATAGTATTTTTTTTAGTTAAATCTAAACCACATTTCATTTTGTCTTATTTGATACATGTTTAGGAATGTAGGATTAGAATTTTTTTTACCGGATTTGTCATGTTCATCAGTTTAGGCATGGACTACCAGATTTGTTCCTGTATGTGGGAGAGTTTTTTTTTTTTTTTTTTGCGTGTGGATGATTTGGTGCTCATGGATTTTCATTGTCATTTATTTATTTATGTTTTACATTTTGTCTTTAGTTAAATCTAAACCACATTTCATTTTTTTATTTTAGCAAATAGGCTCTTAACAGAATTATAGAATTCATGAGTTAATTTTTTAAATTAATTGATTTTTAAATTCATGAGTTAATTAGTTTGAACTTGTATTATCATACTGTTCAAGCTTTAATTAATCTTATTAGTAAAAGTCTTTGGAATTTTCTTAGAATTCTCTAATTGGTTGTTGAGAGTTTCATTGTTCCAGGTTAGTTTAACTAGATATCTTTATGTATTCAGATTCAAATTATTATTTACCAAATTTGATATTTTAAATTGAAGTGGGTCATAATTGATAGATTTTATTATGAGAGACAATAAATGTCACGACCCGAACCCATCCCTCTGGGTTAAGGCCATAACCGGCCAGTAATCACGAGATTACCTACGGCCTCAAACTAAATAAGACAAAACTCATCAGAGTAAAAGGGGCCAAACGGAAGCAATTTTAAAACTTTGTCCATAGAGCCGTGTTTATATGCACATCATAACATTCTAGACACACATATGTTAATAACTCATAACAGAAAGTATAGTAACATAAGTACTTGTACAGACAGGATCATTCAAATCTAAGTCAGCCAAGCAAAACTACATACAGACGTATTCAAAACTTTGCCAACCTGACAAAATGTAAATACATAACAAAAGGCGAAGACGGGTCTCGTGCGTGAGACACAAGGGCTGACTCTCTCAAAACCTTAGTTGTTCCATACAGACTTCACTGAGGCTGGGTCTGGACTTCTCTTGGCTCACCTACAAACACATGAATGAGCGTGAACGAAAGCCCAGTGAATAATATCAAATCAAATACAGAAGTTACATAACAATGTAGAACAACATGTTCCAAACGGCCTTGGGCCCAATTCATATTTCTATTTAACAGATATATAACTATACGAAATTCAAATCAAGTGACTGTAGTTCCAAACATTCTGGCCTTTGGCCCATTCAGATTTCCATTCATGTCAAAACGGCCTTCGGCCCATTCATTTATGTCAAAACGGCCTTCGGCCCTCAAAACGGCCTTCGGCCCACTCATTCATGTCAAAACGACCTTAGGTCCATTCTTACATGTCCAAACGACCTTCGGTCCACTCATTTCTATCAAAATGACCTTCGGTCCATTCATTTCTGTCAAAACGACCTTTGGTCCATTCGTTTACGTCAAAATGGCCTTCGGCCAACTCATTTATGTCAAAACGACCTTAGGTCCATTAATTTCTATCAAAACGACCTCCGGTCCATTCGTTTACGTCAAAACGGCCTCCGGTCCATACATTCGTGTCAAAACGGCCTTCGGCCCATACATTCGTATCAAAACGGCCTTCGGCCCACTCATTTATGTCAAAACGACCTTAGATCCATTTATTTCTATCAAAACGACCTTCGGTCCATTAATTCGTTCATGTCAGACTTTTGTCCACAATCCCAATTAGCAACTCATAAAGCTTATAAGGGGATAAACAGTTGGACATTGCTAAGCTTTCAAATATCGATATTACTCACAGTGATCGGCTTATGGATTTGCCCTAGAGCTTGACCCTACACATTTCATGAACACAAAAGCGGTCACTAACAGTTCAATCCGTTCTTTAATTCACATATTCCTCTTTAGGCTTTATTCTTATCTCGTTAACTCATTTACAATGCTCAATTCATGCCTAAGAGTACTTACAAGTGAAAGAGAACGGAAAACAGAATACAGAATGCAATTTCAGAATTTCAGAAAACAAGGTCCCCGCTCGAGCGTGGACTTCCCCACTTGAGCGGACACTTAAGGCCTGCAAAAATACTGGTTACATCAAAATCACGCTCGGGCGTTAACTCTGCCGTTTGAGCGGATGGCCTGTCTACATGGCTCCCCGCTCGAGCGTCAACTTCCCCGCTCGAGCGAGAACCTTGTCTGCAAAAAGTGCTGGGAGCACGATTTTCCCGCTCGAGCGGCCATCAAAAAACTGGGTTTTCCAAATTGAGTTCTTGAGCTCCAATTCGACCTTCCAACCACATTTCCTGTATAATATGGCTCCAACTTCACATATATTTGCACTCACATGATATAAACACCAAAACACAACATCATGGAGCCCACTTTCATGAATTAACCACATTCTCAACTTAGATAACACAAATGGTGATCATTCTCATGGAACACAACAAAAACATGCTTGATTATGCAAAATTATGGTGATCCTACACATGCAGGTGCACATTAGCTTCAAATTCATCAATTATAGCACAACTCTTGTTCTTGATCACCAATTAATCTTTAATTCACAAAATCACAAGTTAAGTCTCATGAATTCAAGACCAAATGCTTACTTAGAGGCTCAATCTTCCAAACTATAGCAATTTCTTGACTTCAATCCTCCAATTCTTCACAAATTTGAGCCAAACACCCAACTCTCCTCTTTCTCTCTCTCTAGCCGACCCCCTCCTCCTTCTCTGAGTTAGATTCAGTCAAAATAAACTTAAGATGGAAGTTTGAGTGTATAAAGCCTTTACAACAAAACCCACTAAGGCCAAAATAATAGTAATAAAGTAGTTGGGTTCTAATTCATCATTTTAATCGATTTAATCTGACCCGAGTCAATTTTCAATTAAATTTCACCGTAGGTTCTAAAAATTATGCCAATCACAATGGCGTAATCAATTTTAGGTTCTGTGGTCGATAAGGCCTTCAATTTAATTTCCAAAGCAGATTATTCAAACAGATATTCCTACGGTGAACAGATAGAACTTCGAAATCACATATATTCACAAAATGGCACATAGAATCATATTAAACACATTATTATACTCATATTAAGGACCAATTAACGTATTACGGAACAGGGGTATCACAATAAATTTGACGAAAATGGGTTAGACAGAGATGAAAATTGATGAACCATTGTGAAATACAGAAAGGTTAGTTTCTAATTGTTGAACCATTTGATGAGGCCTTTTTTGTAGAGAAAGAAATAGAGCTTTAATTTCTATGTTGTTTAATTTGTATGTTATCCTACCATGTATAGGACACAAAACAATATAATATTCACTCAGTTTAATTTAATATTCACTCAGTTTGTTATCCTTTCTATTGAGTTGATTTTTGGATTCTATGATTTTGTCAAAGATTATTTACTCCACTCAATAACCCAATAAATGCCAATTGGGTAGATCAAGCACTACTAGGAGCACATCCTCCTTATTGTTCCTTTGCTAGGAGGAAATGTAGCATCACCCGTAAATTGAGACAACTCTTCCTAAAAGCTGGTTAATGTTTTAAACTTGGTCCGTAAACATAATGGTAGTCAGTCTAATTTTATATTTCTATTATGATTTCAATATATTAGTCTTCAACATTATGGGTTAGAACAATATTTTCTAATTTTGGCTTTCAACATATTTTAGCTTTCAACATTATGGGTAAGAACAATATATTAGCTTTCAACATTATGGATTAGAACAATATATTAGCTGTCAATATATACATAGCATTAGAACAATATTTTCTAATTTTATATGTCTCTTATGGCTTCAACGTTATGGTTTCAGAACATAGCATTAGAACAATCAAGCCTAGCCTCATAATTAAATTATATCGTCAATGGGTTTAGTGGCAGAACCAATATTTTGGCTCGGGGGCAACATTAAACAAAAACCTAAGTTTATATTGCTAATGGGTATAGTGGCAGAAATAATATTTTGGCTTGACAAAGTTTTGCCCAGTTTCACAGTCTTATTACTCACTCAGTTGTGTAATTATGAATTATAATTAAAAAAAAATCACATATCTATCCTGACGGTTAATTTTACATTTGATCAATTAACTGGTTTAAGGATTCCCAGTGGCAGAGAATATATTAGGGGAACGCATATGTATAATTTGCTTACTAATTGATAGTTGTAAAGAGCATGAATTTGTTTATTCTCTCTCTCAAATTGGCCCCTCTATAAAACATGTATTGGTACCATTTCGTCAACAAAAATAATTTTGCTTACATATTTGAGGTTATGTTTGAATCATAATAACTTTATATTTCCCTCATCTTTTCTTTTTCCTTTTTAAATTCCTATCAAAATTTAAAATGATATTCTCAGAGGGGAATACAGTGAGGGTGGTGGTTGTGCAATACGGTTTACGTTTAGATCAATTTAGTTTGCGGCTAACATTCAATTTCTATGGTCACTAGCATAAGGCACGAAGAAACCTCATCTTCATGTTATTTTTTTCTTCCAAAATGCAGCTTCTCTATTTGATACTCAGTGTATAATTGGAGCAATTATTATGTTTTTCTCACATAAATACATTTTTTAGGTCTTGAGTACTATTTTATTTGATAAATTGTTCATATTTTACTCTTTCATGATAACAAAACTGCATTGAGTTTTTATCTTGCGCGTATTATTTTGGATAATATAAACATCTTAAAATTAGATTGAGCATGACTATGAAAAAACTTCATCCCAAATTTAAACACCCTAAGCGTCAATTCAAAGAGCTACTTTTGTTTGAAGTATATTAGTTGGTCTACTTTTGAAAATGCATTTTCATGGCATTGGTATGTCATGGGTGAGAGAGAACTTAAGCAGAAAGCAGAGAAAGGGTTTGGTTGTGCAATGAGGTTATGGGATGACGAGAAATGGAGGTATAGGGAGAAAAAAAGTGCAAACAAATGAATAGAACAGTGAGGGAAAGATATGGAGGATAGGATAGCGGGAAATGGTTTGCAATTAAATTAATGGATTTGATTTAGTTTAAAAGAGGAGATATAAGTTAAAATGATTACATATGTACGTTGGCAAAAATATCAGTATGAACTGGATAGTTAATATTTATGCTACATTGCTAAATTTTATGTTCATAAATTTTTTTGATGGCTGGAAATTAATTATATTTGCTAGATCAATTTTTCTAAATATTCTATTAAGTGTTTAGAGGCTAAAAGTTGAACTTCTGAAATCATGTTTAAGAGTTAAGATTTGATGTGGTTAGAACCTGAAATTGAACTTTTTATTTGTGTTTGATGAATTTAGTTTTTGCAATTGTTATAAATAGTTGTATATACATACATATAGAAACCCCTTTCACTCTCTCACATCTACATACTCTTCCCCTCCCCACCAGCTCTTGATCCAAAGCCCTTTACGATGGCTTCTTTATTGATGCAATAAAGGTTGTTATTGCGTAAGAATACTTTTGATGGTTAATTTCAAAGTGGGTTATATATTTCGATAGGCCACAAAACAAAAATGAAAATCCACTTATTTATATAATAAACCACAAGGGTTTTTGAAAATGTCCTACAATTGTCTTAGAGATACAATTGTTTTTAATGGTTGAGATTAATCCTAATCAATGTCTGACAGTTAAAAGTATAAGTTGAACAAAATGCGTGTTGATGCTAGACCTCTGGTTCTCGCTTACCGGTACCTCTGTCTATCACAAACTTCTCTCACCCCCTTAAAAGTTAGTTTCATTAGAACATAATGTGAAGACCGGAAAGAGCTCTACTTAGTTTGAATTCCTAGACTTGAATGAGGAGAAGAGCTCTATTGGTTTTGATGTAAGTGGGATTACCTTCAAAGTTAGTTTCTTTACAACATAATTTGAAGACCAGAAAGAGCTCCACTTAGTTTTACTCTCTCTCTTTCTCTCTCTCTCTCTCTCTCTCTCTCTCTCACACACACACACACACAACCTCTTTGCAAGTGACGATAATGGCAATTTTTTGTGAATTTCGTTGAGGGTTTCTGTCTCTAGGATTGTGCTTTGTACATAGCTCCGTTGCTGCTTCAAGTCTCAATTTAGGTGTACAGTCAGAAGATTGAATATTTTTAACTGGTTTTACTTGCTTTGGTTTTAGCTATGTTGTGGTTCACTTTCCCACATTTTATCTTGGTAATTTTTTTATTCTCTGGATAGGTTTGGGGATGGCTTAAACCACATAAAGCACTTGAAAACTCTAAATGTTTAGGGAGACAATTTGTTTTGTAGAAGACAAAATACAAGAAATTAGAAAATGGGAGAATGATTTGATACAGTTGTACTGAGTAATATCCATACACTAACTAAAGATTTGATGCACTAATTTAGTCATCCATGAGATTCTTTTTTATTATCGCAATCGCTTAAATATTGTTTTGAAGTCTTTATGAGTAAAAGGGCAATTTCTCATGTCTTATTCAGACTTAGATGGCATCTTCATTTTGTTTCTATGTAAAACATTTGATTTTATTTGTGAAGTGATGATTGGTCCTTTATATCAAAGTAAAAAACTAATTTTTGCCTGCGGGATTATTGTTCAGATTCATTTTTTCCTTCCAAATTAGTTTTAGTGTTTGTTGTGGCCAATACAAGCTATGCATTTCATATCATCTCTGTTTTTTTTTTCTTTTTCTTCTCAATTAATTTGTCAAGTGTTGCTTCATGTATTGTTGGGAATATAAAATTGTGGCCTCATCATGTCTTTCAAAGATTAAAAATATTGTGTTTTGGACTTACATAGTAGTGATTACACAAATTTTTGATTTTTTTGTGAATTTTGCAATTAATAGTTTGTGTTTTTTTAGGGCTTTTTAATTTTATTTTTTATTATTTGATCTATTTACAGAGCTTAGATAATTGGAAAAATGGCGAGGTCATCAATGCGTGTTCTATGTTTGCTTCACTGTAGTACTTCATTATCTAGATCAAAGTGTTTGGAGAGGTTTGCCTAATTCATATTTTTGCTGTTGTTGAAATTTGCTCCCCGGTTCAACTAGGAAGACTTTTATACAAGAGTTATCATTTTATTGTTAGGTTTCACTATGTAAAACCTGTGTAAACTTCTCTCTTACATTCATGTGTGTTTCAGCCAATGATGGAGTCAGAATTATGGTTACCACTGGTATATTCAGAGCTCTCAAAGAAGTACATGAATTTTGTGCTGAAAGAAGGGGATTAATTACAAAATAAATTGAAAGAAGATTATTTGTTGCTACGACAATGTCCAAACCAAACCAAACCAAATTAAACCAAGCCTTAAGTCTCATTGCTATGACAATGTCATTGCAAAAAATTGTGAAACATGCAATTATCACTCTTAAACCTAGGTTTGTTGAGTTTTTTTGGTATTGTTCAAATTGAAACCGTAAAATCATCTGATTTAATAATATTATATCAAGCTATTCATGTATTTGTTATTGTTCTTCAAATTATTTTTATTACTGCAATGAGTTCATTTTGTTGTCAAATTAGAGTTGCTTTTAAAGAATCATTTTGTTGATTTCTCATAGCTATTGGTTTTTTAAAACGAATTTAAGCGAGTGATTTTGTTGTAGGTAGCTGATCCGTATTAGAAATGTTGGGTTATGTTGCTTCTCTTTATGTGTGTAGTTGGCTGGTTCTCATTCTAAACTGAATGATTAATTATTATTTTTTTTAGGTAGATAGGATGATTATTCTTTTGTATCAAAATATTCATTCACCTTTTCTTGAAGGTATTGAAATTTGATAAAGTGAAAAGGTTACCAGTTATAATATGAATTCAGTAGCATCATTTTATTGAAGGTTTGCTATACATGTATCATTTTGACGTGGATTGAATTCTAAAATTTGCTGTTTGAACTTAAACTTTAGCAAATATTTTTAGATTCTATTCTTTGCTTATGCTACACTGTAATATAAAATTCATTATTTGGACTTTAATTTTGAAATTTGTTATTTGAAATTTATGAATGTTTTTTCCAGTTTACTGTGTAGAAACAATTTCAACTTTTTATTTGTGAAGTATTAAACTGAAGTGATATATTATTTTAAATTGATTTATTACAATTGAATTCCGTAGCATATGTGGTACCAAAAAAATTATTGATCGTGCCTATCCCTAGTGATAATTAGGATTCGGTAGATCAAATATTCAAATAATAGTACTTACTGGAATACAATAATATCTTATGGATTAATTGGGATACAAATACTTGAAAAAAAGATTTTCTAATAAATCTCCCTTTATAATCTACACCACATTTAATTCATATTGATGTTACATTTATCACATTTGCATATTATATTATGAATAATGCTATATGTATTAATTAATGTACTAACAAGTATATTAATAGATGAAGTGCCATAATTTTAGAAATTTTAAGTATTTGTAATTTGTATAATAGGTGGGGTCAGTAATAATAGCATAACACTAATTTGTACACTAGTGTGTATATTAATTAGTGTATGTAATACCACCGATTATATTTTATTTTATTTATCATCTTATTTGTTAACATAATATTGACATAATGGTTTACTAGCATAATTACTAATGCTATGCACGGGTATAAATAAATAATCAAAAATAAAAATTTAAAGTTAAATAATAATCTAAAAAAATTGTCTACAAGCCAAAGATGGACTAAAATAGGTATGCCAAAAGATGGACTAAGATGGACTAAAATAGATTGTGTGCACTAAGTTCTTAATAACAAATATATGTCGTAATTTAAGTGGTAAAAATTTAAAAATAAATCACAAAAATTATATTTATGATAAAATATAAATACATTTTGTCTTATGAGTTTCGTAAATTTAATTTATCATATGATAGTGGTAAATTACATTTGTCAATATAGTAATTTTTTCATGTTTTGTGAAGTCTAAAATTATAATTTGTCTTATATTATAAAATTTACGTAAAAATGAATTAAGATTCACTTGTGATATTAAATTTGGGCTCATTATTAGATTTACGCCAACTTATCCTTCACCTAATCATTAAAAATTGTCTTGTTCTATTCCCAACTTATATGAATCATTTGATCTGTCTATTTATTAAATTAGTAAATAAATATTTGTTAATATTTTTTTATAATAAAAATAAGAAATATGAACTTATTTTATGCATACTTATTAAAAAGTTTGAACTATAGTTAAAAAAAAAAACTATATATTTATGTTTAAAACAATTAAATGAATAGTTATATATATTTATGTATAAAAAAATTATTTAAGATAAAGCCACTTTAAATTGTAGGTCATATTCTAGTCCTAAAAAATTTAAATTTTATATTTAAATTATATCATAGCTTATCAGTTTGTGACTGGTATGAGCTAATTTGGGAGTTTTAATATTGGAAATATTAAAAAGTTGCCAAGAAAATTTAGTTCAAGTCGATTTTTTTTTGCAAATAATTCTTGATTTAAGCCTAGTCCTTAGATAATCGTCTAATTCATGTCCAATTCATGAGTTAGTAGACCTACCTATTTATTTAATTTTTAATTAGTAAATATATTTTTTTAAAAAAATTATAGCAAAAATAGGAAATATGTACATATTTGCTTGGTATATTTATTAACAATTTCAAAATTAATTAACAAATTATGTACTTATTCTTAAAAGGATAAATTACATTGGTAATCCCTATATTTTAACTTTTGTGTTATTTTTGTCCTTACAATTTTAATTTTCTCAATTTTGACCCTAAATTTATACTTTTATCTCAATTTGGTTCAATTGTTATAATTGCTATTTTTTTTTATTGAAAATACACATATGAGTAGCATTTGTTATACTTTTATAAACAAAATTATAATCTTGTTCAACTCAATAACTTAATCTCGACCAACTCAATAACTATTTTCTTTCAAAAATCTTAATCAGCATTATTAATAGGACCAAATTAATACAAAATCTAAAATTAAGGATAAAAATTAAACTAATTGAAATTACAGAGACTAAATTGACACAAGAGACAAAATGTGGGGACTATCGATATAATTTACCCTTCTTAAATATGTCTAATATTGATAATCAATATTAAGATATATTTATATCTGAAAAACTATTTAATATCAGATCAAACTAGAACCTGAATACAAATTTAATGGCTTATTAAAAATATTTAATAATTATAAATTCAAATTTGATTAATTTTTCATTTAAATTTTTTCATAGAATTAGGTGGTTTGATAATTTTAATTTATAGTTCCAATTTTTCCTTATATTTTTTTAAAAATATTTTAAAATTATATATAATTATAATTTCTTTTCAAATTTCCTTTTCAATCTCAAATTAGTTATAACTTGAATTTGGTTAAAATTTATTTTTGACTTCTCATCTACAAAAATTAACAATAAACATAAATTAATTTTTTGAACATTATAAAAAGGTAAATAAAGAAATATATTATCAATAATAATAATAACAAAACATATTTTTTATTTATCATGTGGCATCTTACCACTGCATTGATAATAGACATTAATAATAAAATTTATTACAATAATACAATAATATATCAAATGATAAGTAACATGTGATTACAATAATTTTTTATAGTTATACAAAAGTACCCAAAATTATATAATAAAAACAATATATGATCCATATTCAAATTTTATATTGTAAAATTCACATTTAATCTCAACCACACATTAGTTTTCTAAATCAATTCATCACCCAAACTATCTACTATTCTTTTAATATTCACCTGTTCAAAATCCATCCAAACAATGCTCTAGCCGAGCTCATCATCACTTTTATTGTTTCCATGCTCACCACCTCCACTAACCATTTTGTAACTCCGGTCTAGTTTTGTTGGCTTTTTTGGCTTTCGAAGGTTAGTATTGTGATTTTAAGCGTGTCAATAAGGATCAATCAGTCCTTACAGAAGATAAATTGCCAACCAATTATCAAAAAATTGTGTTTCAGTTCTTTCAGCCTCAATGAAGAGGACTTTTACTAGTGGCTTGTTTAGGAGAATTTAGTCAAGAACAATTAAATGAAGAATAATTGCAGCATTTCATTAAGTAAAAATGAAAAAACTTACAATGATCTGATCCAGACTCGTAGAGGTTTACGGCAACAAGCTATTCGAAACTACTCCTATGAATAAAGTGCAATACAAGAATTTGAAGTGCAGAAATGTAAAGAACAAGAAATATAAAAACTGGAAGGAAAATAAAGTAGATAAAAACTGGTTTCTGAATCTGAGTCTGGGGGCTTCTTTCTGGGGCCTTCTTTGCTATTTATACTTCTCAATGATAACCGTTGAAATGAGCTTCTAACCGTCGAAACATCCCTCCATGATCACTAATTATGCTTTCTCACAGTTGGCTCCACTACGCCATGTCTGCAGTTAGGCTTCCCTCTTAATTTTGAATTTGAACCTTGTGGGTAACCGTTGGGCCACATCATTTTATATCCCTCGATCATTCCAGTGTTATGTGGACCCATTATTACTAGTATGGGTTGACATGTGTCTGACTATGGTTGGCGATTTATATTACCTTCCCAAATTACCTTTCCCATACCACGTGTTGAATCGTGATTGGCTTATACAATTTATACATCCAACATTACCCCCCGCACTAATATACCAAATACTTGGTGATATTAGTGGATCAAAACACTTCACCCACGTCCTAGGACATGCATGGGTTTCACATCTTCTTAGAACTGCAACCGCCTGCATTAAATTCTTTTCTACACCTTGAACATTTCCCATTATCTGAGCATTCGAAAGGATTGATACAACTCGAATGGCCAAACAAACTTTCTTTGACATAGATTGAGCATACGAGGAGTTGTTAGATAATAATGTTTTCCCTCGAAAGAATTTTCATGCATTTATTAACCACTCCTATCCATCTCCCTATATTTAAGTCATGGAAGCTTTTGCAAACTATCGACCTTTGGTTTACGAACCTGTTATTTATAATTCTCTAGCCCAAAACTTTGCAAACATGGATATTGGAAGCTCTTCTTCTAACGAAAAACCTTCTGCCTGGGATGAGGCTGCAGCTTCTTCTTCTTCTTCTTCTTCTTCTTCTTCTAAGACTTCTAGCAGAGGAGGCTGGCCAGAACTTGAGGAATCCAAGTTGAGAGAGCGCATTAATCATCACTTCGTCAAATTCGCTGATCTTCCATCTTTCCCTCCTTTTGTTCAAAGCTCGGCGATTTACCCATATGTATCCATCGATCACTGATGCAGTTTGGAAGGCAACTTACTCATAGCATGGTACAGGTCCTACATACCTACGAAAATTGTGTAAGCCACTCGTCATCCAGAGGAAGCACAAGGGTACAACCCGTCATTCTTAGCCTAGAGGGCCAAATTTTGCTCTTCTGAGTAGCTTGAATGCGTAAACAACCCCCAGTTCTCTCCTTCTTTCGAGATGGATCCTCCTGCACATCT